AAAAAAAAAAAAAAAAAAAAAAAAAAAAAAAACAGTACAAACTATGTCACAGATCACTCATCAATAATACCCAATTAAAACATTCCCGTGTTCCATGTATCCACGACTTTTCCTTAAGGACTGTTCATAATGGCGCAACTGTAGGCTATTTTCAGGGGGTTCATTAACAAAGTGACTGCTATCTTCATCGTTCCTTGCAATACATGCCCCTTCAACGATTACATAAACCATTTCCGATGTGATGTAACTTAATAGCAGAATGGTGTCAACAGTAACCTTGGGAAAATTTAACCATTTAAGAAACCTAGAAGTCGCATTTTCACTCCTGCAATACAAAGTTCAATTACTGTTTCACAAGAGGAGTCAAATAATAGAGCCAAAAAATGGGCCATAATCCAAATAAAAAAAGCTATGATTCTCGGCTTACTTTTTGCCGCTACTAGATATCATCGAACACAGCCTTGCCTTAGAAAATGTTTGATATTCATTAGAACCCATGAGGTCAATTCTTCTTGACATTTTGCGTATTCTTTCAACTTTTACTTCATCCTTTGGAGCTTGTTTTAAATATCTGCGAACTTCTCCAGTAGCATCCCAAACCGAAACAGCTACATACATTTTCTGAGCCCTGTGCATTATCGTTTGTTAGTATGGGACGACCAAAAGCTTAACTGTTTGCAATTAACCTTGAAACGGAATAAAGAAAAATGAATAAAATTTTCTTGAACCAATGTGCCAGCAATTCGATTTCAATAACCCACAGGCCTTAAAAAGTGAGCTCATGTCATGATTTAGTCATAAAGCTAAAAAGCAGTAAATTTTATAAGAAAAATCCATCTCGAAAAAAATAGTTCCTAGAACCAAAATAATGGTAAACTAAATCAGTAGCTTATGTATCGGAGATTTTCAGACTCATGCTCTATGTTCCCCAGCATAAAGAAATCAACAGCTCTTTCCTGGAAGGGAAAGAAGTTTTGTAAACCTATAACAAATAATATCGTGGAAGAAAGGGAGAAAAATATACAAATTGTATCCATGCAAAATGTTTTAATACCCTGCTGCAGACAGGATCTGAAACTGTAAATGAACGAAAATATCTTAATAAAACACTCCAGTAAAAAACTCGGAACTACAAGTCTCACTGTAATAAAAATCAAAAGATTTAGCAACGTAGACTTGATTATACTTTCTATTTTCAAATTCTAAACAAGAGTATATTCAATGGACAAATCTAAATAATTTGACAGAGGCCTCTTACACAAAGGACGATGTTGCATATTCAACCCGTCTTAAATGGCGCACCAAAAACAATCACGCGTAGTTTTCTACCGTGACCAAGCTATGAATTTATCCATCACGAACAGTGTGGAAATAATCTAAGACCTCCAGGTCTTCATAAAAGAGATAAAGAAAGCTGAAAGAGAAGTGAATGTATGCACTCACTGTTTTCCGTAAACAAATAAGTCAACTTCATCTTCAGGGTCATCCAGGACCAAGGTCGTTTCTGGCAGAGGAGGATCGGCTGCAACAGTCGTAGCAAAACGAGCATAAACTTTCGCCATATCGGCTGACTAAAGTACTACCAATTTAATAATAATTCATACTGCGCAGAAAAAAATATATTGAAAATATAAGAAAAAAAGATGAAAAGTATCCCTGATGAAAACCTTTACCTGCAAATACTGGAACATTCTATTCAGCTGTTTGTAGTGCCGCCGGAAAAGAAAAACAACGTCTACTATTTCAATCCTATCAGATCTGTGAAAGAAGCACAATTTGGTGAGAAAGCACTAAAACGAACTACGTAATCGCTGCTGACAACTACACTGTATGAAAAAATCATCAAACATTTTATCAAAAACGCTACTTAATTGATACTTTGAAATCACATCTCAATTAAAACCTCCTCATTGCGGCTGGCTAAAAGAAATTGGAAAGGTATAAAAACTGGCTCAATGTTCACAGAAAATGACTTACTTCCTGTAGCTAGCTGTGACTGATGCCTGTCGTAACATGTTCCTCAACTGTTCTCGAACTGTAGATGCGACAAAAACTTTACATCTAGAACGCAAAAAAATTCATACGAAAATTAGATTGAAACGGCAGTAGTTAAGAATATTCAGCTGGATGAAATAATAGAAGTTCCAACCAGTTATCAGAGGAGAATTTTTCTTTCTAAAAACATACTTGAGGAGCGGTTCAGCTTCGTCGCCGAAAACGTACATCATCTTTCCAAAAGTTTCTAACAAAATTTCGACATCCTCCACGCCAGTCATCCCAAAAATAAATTTCTGATTTTGTTAAAAGTTCTCCGCGTTTTTTAAGCAAGAACTAGATTTTAAAAGGATATAATAATGAACCCTTAAAGCGTCTGGAACCCTCTTCATTCATGTGTTAATGGCCCATAAACAGTACTAAGTGATATCCATAAAAAGACTCATTCAAAGGTGAATTTTTTCAATTAGCAAATACCCAAATACGGAACGCCCCCCGCTAAGCAAAAACACTTTATATAAAAAAATACTTTAGACACATGACGAACCGATACCATACGGAACTCCCCTTTACTATAAGAAACTATTTGTTAACTAACGAAAAGTGATCCGGAAAAAAGCTTTAGCTTGTCCAGCACAATGTACGAAAATGAAAGTAGGCTTGCAATAACTTCAAACAAAATATTTTAACAAAACATCCCTTCCGAAATTAATTCCGCTATTCCTTGTAGCGGAAGGTTTTTAGATTGGCTGACTTCCAGGACTTCACTATTTTGCGTTTCACTTTTTAAACAGAATTGATGTTTCCTCTACGAATACTTTTGGATACGACATTAGTTTTACTTATGACCAATAAATGTTTCATGGGTAGTTAAGCAGAAATGACTAATGTATTCTTCGTTGACATCACTTTTTTCATGCTCCATCAGTTGGCCCTAACCAGTTACGGTCGTACCTTCTAATCACTGGTTAAAGAGGAGAAGCTTGTTTTCATGTTTTAACTTTTGCTCTTGCTCATCATGGATCATCTTCTAATTTGTATAACAGCCTCATCGAACTACTCCGGCGCAAGAAAGTTTTCAGAAAGCAAAGAAAGAAAGATGATAGCAAGTCCATGGTTTTCGGATATCAACAGGCTGGCACTGAATAGTTGAACGATCGATTTGCTTGTACGATGATAACATTTTCGCCGAAACTGAGGATTTCATTGAAGTAGCAGATTTCTATTATATTTTAAAGAAGCTTTTGCAAACTGGATCTGCGTAAATGGATTTTAGAAATTTAGGGATTTAAAGGTCACATTTCTCAAAGCGACCTTGTTTAAATAGATAAGCCTATCAAACTTTCGGGGACTAAGTAGGGTGTTAAACGCGTTGAATCTATCTTTCCTCTGTTACCCTTAAAAACTGATAGCCCAATAACTAAAAGAGGTGTTCTTGGCTTCTCACAACGATCCTTCCGGGTACCTCCCTCCCACATTGATTGTTGGCAAAATATTTCTTCCAAAAATCATTTTATGAAGAATTAAGTCGGGATGGAAAGTGCTAATGACCCTTGCCAGTGAATGGAAACAAATATGTTTTGAATGGTCATCAATTCCTTCTCACCGCATTCGAAAGACGACGCTACTGGCTGATTTCAAGCACACGAGGTTGCATATTTTTAACGACGTTTCCAGAAAAGTACATTCTGCTATCGTGTACTTTTACGGCAAGATCATGGCTGGGGAACCTTACCAATCATCGTTAAATTACTCCGCAACTTCTCAAAGGACGATCCTATGATGAGGATAGAGGTTTCCGGTGTAATAATAGGAAAACGACCTCTGCGCTTTGTAACTCAGGAACTCAAACTTCATCCTTCTAAAATTTTCTTTTGGTGTAACTCGAAGTCTTGCTTGGAATGAACTTTTTTTTGCTAAACTTTTTCTAATATTTATTGGAATCCAAGTAAATGAAATATGGGCGGCAGAAGAAGTTAGTTATAAATACAGTGAAGGTAAAGTGAATATGACTCATCTGCCTTCAAGAGACTGGACACCGGAGTTTTTGAGTGAGTTCGCTTTCTGGTGAAGCAGACTAGACCAAATAAGTCATGGGCACTGCAGAAGCCTTTACCTTGAAGTCGTCTGCGATAGAAACTACGAACACAATTACTGATTCTAGAGAAGACTTTTTCTTGAAACTCATTGATGCTCGTACCTAGGTTCACTTTCAGTGGGTTGTCGTTACTATGTTACGTTTTTCACAAGAGAAAGTTTAGGACAAACTCGGTCGTGGAGCAAAAAAGCGGTTCGACAGAAGAATGGAATTTTTGGGAAGGATACAGGCTTGTGAGAATGTGATTGTCCAGGAAATCCTATGTACAATTCATTTCGAAAACTACATAAGCAAATTATTTTTTTGGTTGCATTGAAATATCTACTGGAGGAGAAGAAAAATAACGTTATTTTTTGATTTGGCCCTGAAGTTTCAAGTGGCTGTGGAAGGTACGGGGGTGGTGAGGTAAATTTGCGTACAAAAGCTCTGAAGTAATAATGTCAAGTGTCGAAACTATTCATCGGCAGTGTGTTTTATGTACTAGCGCAGGTAACTTTGGTCGACTTAAGACAAGGGTTTTTGCTTGTAAAAGGGAGAGGAGTCGTGAAGAACGTAATTGGGGACGGCGAAGGCTTTAAGGGAGAGAGCAAAACAGTTCGCAGATCGCTCCATAACTTTTATTCTGTGATTTGGAACCAGAGTCTCATAGTCTTTTATTTTACAAGATTAGACTGTTTTGGCTTGAATATCGGCAAGTTGCAAGCAGAAGAAACAAAAATCTAGATTTTTTTGTACACGTGCCTGATTTCTCGGACTATTAATCTTTAAATGGTTAAGAATTTGAGTACTGAAGTTTTTTTACCTTTTAAGATGACTCCTGTAATATGGAAGAAGCGAAAGATGCTTTTTGCTGAAAAATGGAAAAGCTATAAGAAGACGGCAAAAGCTTTTATTATAAAATTTTTGTGCAGGTGGTTGGTAAAAGAAGTATATTGAGGGGGTGGGGAGGATTAAGCGAAGTGAACGGAGACCCCTCATCTTACCCTTTTTGCCTTAAGCTGCTGCTGTGTTCCAGCAGTTTTTGGTTTATAAAACCACTGGGTAATTGAAAAGAATTTGTTCGGTCTTACCCGGTGTTTTCTCTACACCGCGAAAAAATTCTAACTGTTCGCTGCGTATAATAACTGATGCAACACACCTTCGCATGATTTACCAGCCTGCAAAAAACTAGTATGCATTTGCTGAGAGATTCATTAATCTACTGCAACGTGTGGTCTAATTCTCCATGTTACTATATTTACCTCACAAACCCGTCCAGATTACACCGTTTAACTGTATAAAAGCTCTCTTCCTAGACTGTTTTCTTCGGCCTTAATGCTTGTCAGCAAGCCAGGCAGTGGAGTGCTGCTCGGCTTCAGCCTCCTGCGGGATGTACCATCTTGCGTTGCCTGGTGGCACAGTATCCACGACGAGGCTTCTTCTACTGGAGTGGAGAAAAAAATGAAACCACCAGTCTAAACCAGCTCCGGATAATTTAAAAACTAGGTAAATGTAGCAATTTGAAATTTAAAGCAAATATAATTGCTTGTGTAATATTCCATCAAATCACCTACTCTTCTTGCTCTCTCTTAGTTTTTTGTTGCTAATTAGTACGAACTGGGTCTGAATTTCAAAAAACATATGAAGAATATGGTGGAGTGAATTAGTGGTTCTATATCATCTCACCGAGGTTAAAAGTTTTTTGTTTTTTGCTGAACCAGTCTCTTTTGAGGACGCTTAGTTTTGTTGTCTGTGCATTAAATTAAGAGGTCTTTCTGACCATATAAAAGCTTATGTTTTTCAGATTTAATGTGATATGCAGTCAACAAGTGATTTTTCAAAAACTATTTACGTGAAAATATGAACTAGACAAATTTGCAAGGAATAGGAATTTTTAATTTTTTATAAGATTGTATGACATTACTGACTAAAATTTTAACTAATGTCAAGACATTAAAGACCTTTATTACCGCATTATATATGCAGCTCTGGGAGGGTTTAGCATACGCTGAACATTTTACTGGAAGCGGATGGTGCAGAAAAGGAAAATGGTGGATAATCTAGAAGAACAACACCAGCACAAAAAAATGTCCGAAATTATATCCAAGGCAACAAAACTGTTCACTATGAGGTTGAGTAATGAAATAAATTAGAAGACTGCTTAAGGAAAAGTGGTTACGAGGAGAGTAGGAATAAAGTTTAGAGTAAAGGAACTAACAGCTAATAGTACTCGTTCATCTGAGCTAGCAGATGCTACTGTAGTCAACAGAAGGACTAGTAGAACGATGCTAGCAGAAAATATTGGCGATAATACATCGCTATAAATTGTACCATCTAGAAAAAAATAGAGTGAAACTGTTCGATGAAAGAAGGGTAAATCAAAGATTATATTGCGAGTAAATAAGGTCTCATTTTCACGGAAAGATCTAGGGTAATAAATACAGATATTTAGGTGGGAGTGCGCTGCTTGTATACTGTACATGAATGCTACAAAAAAGTTATGAAGTGTTTTTAATGTATTTTAAAAATTAATTTGCAATTTGGTAAAGAATGAAATTTAGTTATTAGTTTTGCTATAAAATTGAAGTTAAAAATTTTTATTTTTTAAGCTTATTAAATTCTAAACTTTAAATTTAATCGATTTGTAATTTGTGGTAACGTACATATACTATGGTGTTACTTATATTCTCCGCATTACTTTAGAAGGTAAGCGCAGTTTTTGAATAAATCTCTTATGGGTGGCTTTTGTCTAGGCATTTGAGCGGCTGACGTTTTTCAAGTTAGGCACGTGGTTCTGGTCAACGTTGGTAGGATTGTTCAAAGTATTTAGCGACTGGAGAAGTAAGGTAAACTGTTTTAAAACTGTATTATTTTATAAAATTCTGACTTTTTTGATTTTAACCTTACTCGTGCTGACAGCAGTGGAGCTGGAATAGTTTATTATAAATTTTGGCGTTATACCGTTTCTTAGTTAAATTGGCAGTGATAAGTAAATTTAAAAATTTTGTTATGTAATTGATTTTTTCAGGTTCGTTATTATGTGGCGTTTGTTTAGATAATTTGAATTGGTTTTGTTAGGTTTAAAAACTGTTATTAGTAGTTAATAAGTTTAGAGCTTTTTAGCACTTTATAAGTTCTAGCTAGCTACAAGTGTTCAGGACCATGGAAGATAACGGTTTAGTGAGTCAGATCATTCGGATACGGAAACGTACAAGCAACAACACTGACGTCTTTCGCTGTTGAAGGACGGGTCTTAAAGACTGGATCACTTACAAATTATTATATGCTTAAGCAGCTGTAACTTATCAGTTTCCAAACAGTTTGTGACAGATCGGAGCTGTTAATTTTTGCAAAATGTTATTACCAAGTTTATTCTTCCTGTATTCTTTCTGAAGTGTATCTTACCAGAAAAAAAAAAAAAAAGATTTGCTATGAAGAGATGTATCATACAGCAATCAGGAAAGTAATAAAGGAGGTATCAATTTGTGTAACCAATGAAGGCTCTAACTGAAAAGAGTATTTTTTAAAAAACGTCATTTTAGAAATAATTGAAATAATTTTTGAACTTTTAGTTTTCTATCTTTTTGAATGAAAACATACGCAATCGTAAAGTGCTTTTCAGGTTAATTAAAGAACCTAGATATGTGTTCTTCATCCAGCTGAAAAA